CACGGAAAAAGGTATAGCTAAAAACTTCACTGATTTAACAAATCTACAGTCGTAATATACGGATAGTCAATTTTCTATGTTTAAGTATTAGCTTTGTTGGCAACTGAATAACATTAGCGATTTGGTAAACTATCAAATCTTTTTAATTATAGGTATTAAATTCGCGTAGTAAACTCAATTTTTACTATATTCACGCAATCTGTTTTTTTCCGCGAATCTCTGTCTACTGAAAAAAACTCGTCAGTCTATTTTTCTACGCACGCTTTTGTATTAATACTTGACAAAGTGTTACTTTTAAGTCGTAGATATTATAATTTCAAATAAATTTATGATGTTTAAACAGGATACAATAAGCAGACATAAGTATAATAGTTAAATTTAAAGAAAATGTAGTCACATAAATACAAATCATTTCGTATATTCGCAATCTAGACATCAATAACTTTAGTTTGTACTTCTGCAAAATATCACTTTATTACTCTTTAATAGTCCGGTTTTACTATTGCCTGCTATGTTTATAATCGTAGAAGACCGCGCTCGATTCGCAATTTAAATGTATACGTTGATATTTCAGTAACAAGTAATCGCCGTCAATCCACTTTCGGATTTCGTCGATCTGAGCGCGAATTTTCTCACCTCTTTCGTTTTTTGTGACGCATCGAAGAAATGCATCGCAGAAATCGTTTCGTCGAAATCAGAACCTTTCCATCATGAAAACAGGGGTGTCGAAAGAGCACAAGATTACGGATCCTTCGTCATTTACGATGTCTCGCGCGATGGTAAGTTTGATTGTCGGTGGTTGCAATTTGCGCGGAACGTCAAGATCGCGAGGACTGCCGTGAGAAAATACGCTCGAGATTTGTGCGCAGCGCGAAAAGCTAAACGAGAGAAAAGTTTTTATTTCGGCATTTGCGAAATCGAGTTCTTCCCGACGACTCTTCATGCTCTCGTACCATCAGCTTGAAGATGCAACGTCATTCTACATCTCGTCGTCTTTGCTGTTCTAAGTGCCGTAAAACAATGTCGACGTATGAATTCACGAAAGAGATTTACTAACTTCTGGACGTCTACGAAAATTCGTTGTTTATGACGAATAAAAACCCTGTCATAGCATTTATAAAACGCTTCTTTCATACAAGTATCTTATTATTAATTGCCGGCGGATCGATTTATTCGTAAGATAATTAAAAAATAAATTTTTTACAAATCAGGATTCGTTATATTTTTTTTGCTGTCTCGATATTTAATACTGTTGCTATTTATATTTTTGATATTGCGTAATATTTAAAAATAGGCAATATTTGTGCACAACGTGATTTACACCTTTTAAAAAAATGAAATGCTGCTTCCCCAAAATCTAATTCAATTTGATTTCTGTTGAATTTTGAAGAATTTAAATTTCGTATAAAATGTTACATAATTCTTCCTAATTTTACATATGTATGTATTTTTTATAACTTGCATATGTAAATGTATCTAAAATATTAAGATAACGGTTTTACAAGCGAAATCGCGTTTAAATTACGATTCCATCGAATTTCTTGAATGACAGCTTTACACAGTTTGTCCACTGTTTTAATTACCAAGTTCTATTAATTATTCATATAATGTAGCAAAGTCAACCTTATAATTGGGAGAAACGAAGTGTTCGCAGGTGCATATTTTCGATTTCCTCGAAGACTGGTTTAGTGAAAGTAGAGAAGCACGAAAGTTCACGAAGTGTCCGCTGAATTTTAATCTGAATACTCGATCTAACGTTCAATGACCAGACTTTCTGTTTGTTTTAATTTGAAATAACAGACTTACAGGCGCGTAGACGATAATGTTCTGTACTGTATTTAAAAATGGATAGAAAAAATACAATTAATTATGTTTTTCTAAATGTAAATCAAATACATTGATAAATAGGTCACACATATTACATAAATTTATTTTCGGTTAAAGTACACTGTAAATGAAATAAACACAATTTTATTATGTGTTTACATCTCTAATTTGCGTAAGAGAATCTTTTAATTTTAAATGTTTAATAGCTACAATTTTACTTTGGACAATCTTAGCAGTAGAAGAATTGTCTAAATACTCTATAAAAGCAAATCACACAATGTGCAGAGAAGAAGACAACATTTTTTCCACATTATACAATTGCCGGTGCATATATTAACTTCCAGATAATAATAGTAAATGCAAAAGGGAACTTGTTCATGAAGGAAACAAGGACCGCATAACCGCAAAATTTTCCATAAAGCTGTCGACACGCATTCCTTCCGCGGTCGCTTCCGAAGCTCGCGTCGTGAGAGCGGTCGTGAGAAAAAGAAAACGGCAACAAAGACGCAGTATTTATAAAGAATCCTAACGACTCCGTAATTAGTGTAATTACGGAGCCGTGTCTTGCGCGGTCTTAATGCTCGCGTCACTTGGATCGCGTCCTCCCCGTAATTCCTTCTAATGTATCTGCCGGTGAAAAAGGGCGGCCAGGATCCGGACCAAGATCCGAGGAGGAAGGAGAACCTCCGTCGCTGCGACAGTACGACTGCAGTATCTAGATCGAAGCTGTGCTCCGGTTGCGAACGAAGAGGATCCTCCTCGACGATTGCCAGCCGAGAACGGATTACCTCTAATCTCTGACATTAGCTCCCGCTCTGCATCGACCGTGCTTCGCGCGCTTCTACAGGAATATGTCTCCATTTACTATCTGTTCTTTTTCTCGGCACCTCGTTCGTGAATACCCGAATAAAAAGGATGACGCGGATAAATCTTGGCGGCGCCTGCTAGCGGACTCTCAGTGGAAATCCTTTGGAAACTGCTAATTATGAGAGGGCGCCTGGCCAGCAGCTAAATATACGCGCTTTATCCATTCCAACGCGATAGCCCGTTTGAATTGCGTAGCTTTAAGGGAAAACTCGTTTCTCTGACTATGTCTATATGCTGCTTCTCCGAGTATAATTAACACTTGTAATAATGGTATTACTATTTTTGAAGTATGTAATCAACGCAATGTTCGATAATCCTGCTTTTAGGAATGCAGTTTAATTTTATTTTCTTATTTATTTACGTCATTTAATCATACATATTTAAAGCAATTAACAAAAGCAAAAACAATATTAAAATAGCATTATATCTATTTAGAATTATAGCTTATTTGAAGCTTATTTAAAGTTTATAATCATTTAAAATTCTTTATTATTGTGTTTTTTTAAATCAAATGTTTAAATAGAGGTTTAGTAAACTTATTTGCTATTAAATTTACTATCGCTATTTTTATCACAAAAATCGATTAACATCAAGTTCCTCAATGCTACAATTATATTCAATTAAGTTCGAATGAGACGCATACTTTGCAAGAATATTGAATCGTTGTGTCTGAGTCCAATTAATTCTCAAGTAAGAGGAAATTAGGATTACGACTGTGAAACGGCACGCAGTCCTCGCAACGCGCTCAACGAGACGTTGCTAATTGTCGCCGTATGGTTACCGATTTATTGCCCCACTAGCGCTCCATTCCACAATCTGAACTGTAAGTAAAAGGGCAATTAACGGTTGACCACAACAAATAAAGCAAGTAGAAAGGTATTGTAGATGTCTGTAGTGTTAGGTAACGCGTCTTTTAGTCTGTAATCGGTAAGTTTATATATGCAATTGTTTTATCGCTAAAGAACTTTATCTGTGAGATATGGTCTTTATTATTCATTTTCGCCACAAATAATAAGACACAATTAAAAACGTTATTTTTCGATATTTTATATATACCATAAATGAATAAAAAAGTTTATATTTTAAATAACAATATACGATTTTTAATAACATTGCATTATATATGCGTTTAACCAATCAAAACTAGCTAATATGTAGTTTAAATATAAAAATCTATCTATTAATATTCTAGTATTTACCTGGAAACGTGTGTATATATTGTTAATTACTCTAAATAACTCTAAATGAAAATTCTAAAAAAAAATTTGCATTTATTTTCTTCTATATTCGAAGCGTAATAGTCGATAAGATTGTATAATCTGGAGTATTATCGTGAAACATAATTGTGTTTTACAGATATATACATGTGCATGGACTGTTATATGTTGGACATTGAAAACAATCGTGTAACATGGAAATGACATTTCCAGATACCAGAAAAAAATATCGTTGATAATAACGACTTTAAAAGTGCGGCTCAATTAAAAAAAAAATTTATATAACAGTCTACAATGAAAACAATACATCTTTTCACCTGCATCATGTTAACGCATAGACAAGAGAATTATTTTAATTTTAGCATACGTACAAAATTTTGATTTTATTTTATTTTTAAACCTATACAATAGAAGCGTTTCTCATATAATAATATTTCTTTCTTTCAATGAAACATATATTTACTGACATTATTTCAGGTCTCGTCCAGCTAAATTTTTAATGGCTCTAATTAACCTTTTTATGGTTTCTAAGTCTATCATTGACAGGATATTAATAAAATCTTAAATTGAATCTATGGGGTAAGCTAAGGATGACTTTAAAAAGAGCCGAAAGATATATATTCTGTTAAATGACTTTCACAATTACAATTAACTAATTGTATATCATTTATTTGTGCTCATTAATTACTGTATTCATGTTTTTCCCTCTTAATGTAATATTTTAAGAATTCGCTTCTTCTTCATTTCTTTAATATTATAGAAATGTAAATTACATTTTATATAAAAGTTATTAATATATTGAAATGAAAACCTCAAAGAAATCTGTCAATTATACATATCTTATATATACTGTGCTAGAATAACTTATATGTTAACAGGATAACTCATGAATATTCTTTACTTAGCGAATCTTATGAACCGTTTCCTTGCATGGTCAATTGAGGAAGTTTGGGAGTTTAAGAATGTGATGGGTCCAGATCAGAAGGCGTGTTGCATTGGACATTTAGTGAAAGTAGTGTCATCATATAAAAACCGAGAAGCTGATGATATGAAACACATTCAGACTCATCTCTTCATAGCACGTTCACCATGAAGGCATTCCTAGTGAGTAATAGAACTTTTCGGCAATTTTTTTTACTAATATCTCAATAGTGCAAATGTGTTGTAAGAAAAAACAGTTTTATTGATTATCGTAATAAAATGTGCAATTCTCTCTTCAGTTTGCTCAATTTTTTGTTATTAGCAAATGTAAATGTTTTTCCTTGTATTGTAACCTGATTATTTGACTATTTTTAAAATATTAAAAACAAAATATAATTTTTCTATGCTAGTATTATATATTATATCTTGTTTGTAGTACGTGATTAAATTTTTTGTTACTCACCATTTTTGCAAATCTATTTTATTCATGTAATTATATGTAATTATGAATAAATAATTTCTACTTTTTACACATTACAACATAACACCATTTCTATTAAAAAAAACTGAAATAATTAACAAATATCTATAATAATATAGAAATTTTATTTATGTATTAAAAACATATAATTCTTTTCTTGATAATAGATAAGAAATTATTGCTTACAGGTTTCATTCTTGTTCATCTCCGCCTTTGCCGCTGATGTGTCGGAGAAAAAACATGACAAACGTGCTTCTGTACACGGAGGATCATCGATATATAGTCATGGCGGCTACATCCCCCACAGTGACGTTGTGTTTCATGGACCCGGATATGGGCATGGATACGGGCATGGATACGGGCATGGATACGGGCATGGATACGGGCATGGACATGGGCATGGATATGGACATGGACATGGGCATGGATATGGACATGGACATGGACAAGGATTTGGAGAAATTGGACATGGAATCGAATTTATAGGAGGACCACATGGTTACGGACCAAGTTTTGACATCGGTATAGAACACGGACATTTACACCACGTGCCCAGAACTGTCGTGAATCGCGTGGTTCCAATTGCAGTTCCCGTACCTCAACCGGTACCCGTTACACATAAAGTCCCCGTACCAGTGCCTCATCCCGTACCCGTCGAAGTAAAGCGTCCCGTCCCCGTCCCAGTACCACAACCGGTTCCAGTTGTCGTCACCAAACCCTATCCCGTTAACGTACCCCGTCCGATTCCAGTGCCGGTACCTCATGCCGTACCTGTACCACACCCCGTGCCGCATCCGGTCTCAGTTCCGCATCCGATTCCAGTACCAATTCATACACCAGCCCCAGTTCCAATCTCGCAACCCATACCGGTTAACTCTGATCCATATCCGTTCCCCGCTCAACCAATTTCTGTCACCCAACCTATCGTATCAACCGGTATTCAATCCATACGACCAATCGGTCCCATTGGAATTGAATCGGTCGATGCGGGAGGAGCCAGCACAATACTGGGAGATGGACACAGTTCTGGACTTGCCATTTCTAGCGTCTTACACGATGGTGGTAACTTTAGTCCCATAGGCTCGGGACTTCACGTAAACGTGGATCCCGGCAGTGAAGGATATTCTTATCCGATACCAGCGAAGAAATTCTTTTAAGCACTCGAAAGAATCTGTTGCAGGCGACATCTCCGATTTGCACGCCGATGCGATACGTCTGCCGTTTTCGAGACCTCAGATATACGGCACGCGGCTATAGCCCGAGTCACGCCATACCCATTTATTCCACGTTTCACTTGATATTTATGGATTCGCGTACTACAGAAGGTCTGTGTGAGTCGTGTCCTCTATTAAAATTCCGCCTAAAACCGCAAAGAGATCGAGGTACATAAATATATTGGCATTTACTTTCGTGTTTTCGACAGTGACAAGGAAAAGAGAAAGTGTTACATTTTGAGAACGTGAAAGTAATATTATGCAGAAGGAGATGAATAATCATGCGAGCGCGCGATAGAAGTAAGAAATATGACAACCTATTCGATATTTCCTGTTACTGAAATTTCACGTAGGCAGGAGAAAATTGCTAACAATTCTTTCAAGATGTATCGTTTGCACGTTTACAATTGGATCGTATTCTAAGCATGATACACAATCAATCATTTGATAACTATTTATTTATCTTTTTTATATCTATGAAGATATAAAAAATATCTTCATCGTGTGCCATAGACATTCGAACAATTATGAAATGAAATTATTAGGTACAACTGTAAATTGTTTTATATGTATAAGAAAGAATATATCTTGACTTGTTAATTTAACCAGAGCTTTGATTATTTCCTTAACGCATCCTTTAAACGATACCCTTATATCGGAATCCTCTCGTAAAGCAGTTACTACACACGATATGATCCTGCGGGTTCGAGATACACGAGTAGATTTACCCCGATTCGAAAGTGATTAAAGTTGCTACCTCCTTACCCGCATCGCATCCTAAATTGCCGAAACTTTGACCTTGTGCTTTAGTACACCCGACAACCACATAACAATTTCGTACAGCCTCCGGCTGTGATGCCGGCTCTGCAGGTATCCAAGTACCCAAGTCGCTATTTCTAACTTATATACGTATTTATACAAAAGAAATTTATAATTACAAGAAGAATATGAAAATAATTGAGACGTTAATAAGCAACAACGAATTTGCTGTTGTCTTTATATCATATTTTTTCTTTATCAATATTCAGCATTATACAAATCAAAACGTTCTATTGGGATTACTGTAAATTTGCTTACATATATTAAGAAGATATATTAACATCGATAAACTCTTCGTATTTGGTAAGCCACTTCTTCGTCTCGCATTGAAAAACTTGAATGTTTCGCTTTTTCGGTTGCCTACCGTCATTTTCGTAATGGTATCTGTAGTCGTAGAAGACGTACGTGCCTCGTTACATACAGTAGAATCTTACTCTGCGAATTTAAGGTAAGCTACTAGCCTTTATATATATACATATATATAGAGCGTTTCAAAATCCCCGTATCTTAAAGCTTACCATAGAATTAACAATGACGGTAATTCAATGTGAGAACATAAATAATTTTTAAGTTTGCTTTAGATTAAAAGATATTTTGCTAAATCAAAATTATATATTATATAAAATAATAAAATTTTGTTCCTTTACTAGAGAAATATATTTTAATTTTGTTATATGTCTAAATACGAATTTAATTTATTAAAATATTTAACAAAGTTAGATATTTTTAGAGGAAAAAATCATGATCTATTATAGTTTATTTAAAGTTTTAGATAAACTAAAGGCAGATAATGTGACCAAGATATGTGATTCTCTCTTTGAGATATCCTGTATAAGAGGGAACGTACAAATATACCGTACACACGCAGATTCCCTTAGAACGCTCCACCTGCTCCGCAAACACATTTACTTGCAGTTACGTACGTATGTGGTTTCTCCCTTTTTCCCCCGCAGGAAAACCGGCAGTCACGCACTATTTTACGACTTTCACCAGGCCTCTGAATTAACCCGAGCTTTTCCAGTTGCAAGGATGGTTCTTTATGCACCCTGCCTAGAAATGAAGTGCATTCCTCTTATCTACGTCTAGGATTACAATGTCGTTAAACCGCCAACACTTTTTTTGTGAAATCTCTCTTTTACGGTTTTCCAATAAAGTATTTTATTAAATAATTCACAATCAGTAAAGAAGGATCTTATGTAACGATATTACGAACTTGCATATGCATAAAAACGAAGTTTACATACAGATGTTATAATAATACGTTAGTAGTGGCTTTAATTCCATTTATATTTAAATAATTTGGATATAAGCAACACATAAAATCTATGTTTATTTTGTTGCAATCATTATTTTTTAATAATACGACAATCGTTTCTGTTAATTTAATAATTTCTTCATGTTCCTTAGTAAAAGTTATTTTTTTCTAACATTACACGCCAAATTATACAGAGTCACATTAGAAGAATAATTAATGTTCTAATTTACTCTTAATAAAGTTTGTTAATTATTAAAAATTTATTATTACCTTGCATATTTGATCATTAACGTAACGATCAAAAGATACGAGTAAAATGCATAAAATAAGAGGATATCTATTAGCGTGCACAATTATATAACACAGTTGCAATATTATTTAATTACTATAAACGGCACAGTCTTCGCGAATTCGAAATGCGCACGAGGCGCAGCAGGAATGGAGCTAATTGTAAGCATTTATCTAATGTGAAGGATTTACAGACGATGTAAATTTATTCGCGAGACCCTCGCTTAATTACGCAGATTCCAAGGCATCTTTCGCAGCACCCTCTTACGCTACGTAAGGCGCGCACCGGGAAAAACAGAAATTAATCTCGTATTACGGGCAGCGAGATATTTATAGTAAGTATAAATGTTCTTGCGCAGAAACGGTTCTCCTGTCATTATCACTTACGACTTGTCCTTTATGATCTATCATTAAATGTATATCCTAGAACATTTAGTTCTTTTCGCAGACTATACTTCTATAAATACATATTATTGAAAGGAAAAACCTGAAAAGGAAAAGGCTAGAATTTAAAAGATAATATAATTTACTTTCTTCAAAGTATGTTTCTAAAATATTCCAATCAGTCCGTACAGATTGGAACATTATGTATATCTTTACGACTATTCTGAAAATTACATGTCGTCAATGTCGTTAAAACGCAATTGTGTACTAAAACCAAATAATTTTGTATTCGGTGTACCTATGTACTAGATAGAGCTCCGTAAAGTTTTGTATGGCGGTCGGTGTAAATGTTACATTACCTTTGAATCTTTTGAAAATTTCCGTATTTGACTGTTGCATTTGTTATTTCTTACTACTTAAAAAAATCATAGTTTTTTTTTTAACTAAAGAACCGTCTTGGAGAAAGTAAGTCGTAAACCGTACATGGAAAGAACGATTTTGCTAGCGTATCTACGAATTTAGATACGAGTACAGATCTGAAAATAATTTTGTTGTATCATCAAAATAATTACGTAGTAATCTTAAATATAATATAATAAACGATGCTGCAAAAATATTGACACACTTTAGCAATTATAATTATTTCGATGAGTCAAGAAAATTATTTTCAGATTTGTATCCGGCAAAACTTTCAGATACTTTAGCAAAACTGTTCTCTCTGTGTAAGAAATTAATAAATCATAGCCGATTACTCTCGATCCTCACATTCGACTGTGATTTCTTACAGCTTACAGCTTTTATTGTAGACGGCCTTAAATTTTAATCAAAAAATCTTACTTATATTCCTTAGTCATCAATCTAAATATTAAGTTCTGTGGTCTTGTATCAAACTCTAATCTGAATGTTGAACGTATTAAGACAAAGAAGAAAATAAAGGTTCCCATTGTTTACAAGCACAGCCTTGAGCGATAACCATCACAAAATTATTCGTGGAAAGGCGACGAGAGATTGCCGGGACCGCCGGACTCGCGGGCGCCGCGCCATGTTCTCTTTTTTGGATGAAAAATATCGGCGGAACGATAAATCGTGCACTGTTCATGTTTCGGAGCGCGAGTCGCGTAATGTAGCAGAACGGAGCCGAAAAATTGTTGCCGCGATGCCGCAACCGGCGCAATCTCGGGCCGACAAGTCGTGCACCGTAATGTGTTAATGACATAGGATGAAAATGACTCGTCTAGCGACGATGAATCATTCTGAAATACGAGGAGCTTCGCCTATTTAATTAGAATATCGCAATCTACCCAGACGTGTCGCATAGTCGACCGGTAGAGCGTCGCGTGAAAAAGAGAAGAGAGAAAAGAAGTTTACGTCAAAATCTCTTTCCTTGAATTTTATATCGGTAGTTAACGTGGCTGATATATGTGCATAACGCTTATAAAGTCATGCATTCTGCTGTTCTTTTTTTTTTTTTTTCTAAACACGGTTGTCTGCCTTAAGCTTGCCCGGCTCGTTCGGGATTTTATGTTGGGGCGCGAACCTGCTATTTACGATCGCCATTTCACAGCATTGGGCATAGTGTTTTTCTCCTCCGGATTCACAGTCAAACGAATCGGCAGTTAACGTCGATATTTTTGAGCATCTTGACCTCAGCTGACTTTTTATCGCGACGTCGACCTCAGACACCGATGATAACCGCGCGAGGCTGCAACGATCGCGCGAAGCCGCAGTTCTGGTTGCAGCATTGTAGGCTACGCGACGTTTGACCATCGATACGACGAAGCGAACGGGAAGTGCCATTTTATTGGTTGTTTTGAAACAGTAAAACACACCGTAAACACGCCGTCGCTAGACTCATAAACAATGAAACGGCATACGTATGAAAGTTACAGAATTAAACACCGGTAGAATTATCGATTAGAATTTATAAAGAGTGTTATACAGCTATAGAATATTACACCACCAATAATATAATATGCCACTGCTTTTGTAAAAAAAAAAAAATAGTAAAAAAGCCAAGAATTAATCGTAAAAATATAATGATTTTGCTTAGTATAATTAATATTTTTATTTTTATTTTTTATAGTTGTCATTTTTTAATCCGCGCGGGAATTCATTTAATAATGATGATCTTTTATCGATATACATCAGTAAATTGTAAATTTTTGCTGAGGTCATGTCTTGTCGACGCACCGATTAA